TAGATTATTCAGAGCTGAGAAGATGTAGAGACTTCTGGATACCTTGAGTGTCAGTTTGACAATGTTTATGATGTGATTCGAACCACTGCAACCATGATCATTGTTCCAGGACTTATTTTCCCTGGTATCTTGCATAGTAACGAAAGAGAGTGAAGTGGTTGAGTGAGTAGATTGCTTCATTTATTCGGAGAGTTGGATCATTAGTAGTGGTTCAGTGACTGTCTAATTCTGTGGATAGATGCAAAAGGCTCGCTTGACTTTTACTGACTTAGTCCAACTATACCATCTGCGTGATATTCGACTAAATTGATTTGCTGCCTAGTGGTTCTCTTTGTTCTACTATTATCGTGTGAAAATTGTTAGGTGAAGGTGGAGAACGTAAAAGTCCTTAGTTGATTACCTGTGGTTTCCGCCTCATCATGTGCTTTCTGTCTATCGTGGTGTCACCACGTTAGTAACGCAGAAGTCATGTGTTGAGTTTCAACCCGTAGAAATAAGTCAGTTATTGAGGTTGTGAACCTTCACCGACTTAAATTTCCAGAACACCTGTACGCATACCCAGTCACTGTCAGCCCATTTATGCAATGTTAGCTGAAATAGGTTTAGACTGGAAAAAGGTTAAAGTTGACCGAACTGTAAACATGACATCCATGCATAAAGTATCTAATTATCGGTCTTAGCCAGAAAGGGGAAAGTAGGCTTTCTGTTGAACTTGAACTTGTCTTAACGGTTTATGACTTGTTTCCCCTTGAATTTTCGGTTTTTCTTATGTTTTCATTTAGTGCCTTTAATGAATTAATGTTTGTGGATTCGCTATCTTTTTCTTCATTTTCGGTTTTCTTGTGCATCGTTCTCTGAGGGTACTCCTGCAGATCTTAGTGATAGGTTGTATAGTATTTGCATTATGAATTTTGTGTGTTACATGTTTTTCTGCTTACAGTTTTTGAAATCCCTGGATGTTTCGCCGGTACTTTTAGTTTCATCCCCTTTTCTGTATGTGTGCCAGTTTCTACGATACTTCCTTTCTTTAATTTGAAAGTTATTTCAAAGAATATTATTTGTGAATATTCTGTTTGTTCTCCATTTTTGAATTCACCCTATTTTATTGATGAATATTTAGAAGTAAACGTAACCTAGTTGACTTCAAACAGAAATTACTTCAGATTATCCGATAATTGTATATGACAGTCCCGCATCTTCATCTATCGCCAAGTATATACTTCCAACTAGTAATACTCCAGACATTGAAACACTTTATAAGTTATTAAACAAACGTAGTTAGGGTCGAGAAATCAAATTTATTTAACCTCTAGCCATCCTTAAATATAAACCTTTTTGTTCACGAAAGTTGTTTCTACTCCCTTTGAATCTACTTGAGTATTACTGGTGTTAATTTTGATACCAAGATTGATGTGATTTTGTTTTTGTCGTGCCCTTTCATTTCTTATTATTTTAACTGAGTTTTTATGTAAGTGTTGACATGAGATATGAGACATGACTGGTTCATACTTGATCAGATCGTTTGAAATGTATTGTGTTCATGCATCACGTTTCAGGTAATGTTTGTCTTCTCATTACGCTGTGTAAAATGGACCACTGTACTTTGGGTTTTTTTTGTGCAGAATAATTATAACAGTTTATTAAGAAAATGTTATCTTTCATATAAAAGGCGAAAATATTCATTGTGGTATTGTATGAAGAGTGATAGTTAAGTAAGAATGAGTATCTCATTACTCTCCATAACTGAAATATTCCTTGGCGAATACTGACAAAGAAGTGGTTTAGGTTGTACGGATAAGTCAGTTGTTCCTATTGAAGCTTGTCCATGTGCTATATACTTAAGGGAATTAAGCAATTTTCATGTGAATATTTAATCATATGATGTGTAGGTAATGGAGATAGATGAGAAGAACTGGCAAGTACACCTTCGGCTGCGACAAACACAACTGTAATTCCATTTGAACAATGAATCGAGGCTAATCTGAAGCTTATCTTTCTGAAAATTTTATGTTGATTGACTTCACAGTTATAATGAGAGTTATTTTCAACAGAAAGTAGCTCACTAAAGCTTAACTGTTCAGAAGTATGTCACATGCCTTCTGAGAGAGAAAATGAGACTAAATGTGTTGAATGTTAAAAAGTTTGTCTTATCGACTACGGGGTAATGGAAGTGATATATCTAAAAAGTAATTTATCACATCCTGGTACTTGTTTATGTTCTGGGTGACACTTATTAAGTAAGGTATAAATATTGGATTTGGCGTCTTCAGAAGTAATGTAGAACGAAGCAGAAAGAACGACAGTAAAACTGATAATAATAACAGTATTTTTTTTTTTCTGAAAGTGCTTTCTGTACAGTTGGTTTGTATCTACAGTCAATGGTGAATCGTGTATTTTAATGAAGTGTGGATATGATGGGAATGTGGCAAACTAAAATCAACCTCGGAAAGAAAAAGCGAAAACAGAATATCTAAGTTCCAGTCCTCTTTAGTGCTATTAAAACTCTTGTTCATTATGAACGATCAAGTTTTCTACACTCGAATACTTTTGGTTTCAGGAGGCAATAGTAGGATATGACCACTGTTTGATTCATTGTATGCACTATTGAGTAAGAAATCAATTCTCAGAAAGCTGTAACTCTTTATTACCAATAGTTAAGAATGTCTCAATTGTGCATTGGTTTGATGAGTTTGCGGACTATTGTGTTATGTAGCCAGATTTTACGAGGCCATATTTGTTTGTCTTCATTTCTTACGTTTAATATGCGCGAACACCAACTAAGTTAGCAGTTTAAAACAGGTTGCACTGAAAAACTAATCTATACTATTTGAGAGCTTTACAGTAGCACTTACTCCTAACCTCTTCTAGCTGTGAATCTAATAAGAGGAGTTCTTTATCTATCATTTCGTGATTCTGGATAAAAATTATCACTATCTTAAGTGTTACCCTTCCTTAATAACTGATTCGTAAATATTATTCTTTTTTCTGTTATTGTCTGCAAAACAGCATATTCACAAAGACATCCCAAGGTATTGGTTGGTCGCGGGAGTGCAACCAATTTCACGTTGTCTAATCCTGAGTGCAGACCGAATTCTATCGATCATATTTGCAATGTGGCAACCAAGCTAGGAAGCTCAGCATTGCCGTGCACATTAGTAGATGTTAGTTGGTTAGAGGCCACTGTTCACAACCTGGTATGGTAACTTGTCTCTGAAATAGTTTATAAGAATTCATATTCGTTTTGAAATACTTCATCATTCGAAAGCAGTATAAATGCACTAAATACACGATAAAAACTTCAAGTTTTTTTTTTGAAATGATGTAGAAGCAGTGATGCAGAGACTGGAAGCCATTATTCTACCTGTGATCAAACCAAAAATTTGGATTCGTTATGTAGACGACACTTTTATCATCATTAAAAAGGATAATATAGAAAACAACCACAGTTTGATCAACAACGTTTTCAAAGACATAAATTCACAATGGAGAAAGAGTCAAACAACCAACTACCATTCCTGGATGTTTTAGTCAGCAGGACAAATGCCGGAAAGCTGGAAACCCAAGTGTACAGGAAGCCAACACACACTGACCATATCCTCAACTACAATAGCAACAACCCAACAACACACAAAATCAGTTGCGTGCAGACTCTATTCAAGAGAGCAGGAACACACTGCAGCACAACAACTTCACGGAGAAAAGAAAAAAATTACCTGATGTCCACCGTAAAGAAGAACGGCTACCCACGAAACTTTATTAAAAGATACCTGTCCCGTGTATCACCAACTATAAAGTCATCGACAGAAATCAACAAACGCATCGTCCTACCATACATAAAGAATATATCAGAAATCACAACAAGATTGCTGAGGCCACTTGGAATAGGTGTGGCTCATAAACCAACAAATTCCCTCCAAACACTATTATGCAGACCAAAGGATGCAACAATCAAAGATGACAAACCGAATATCATTTACAAAATCAACTGCAATAACTGTAGTCAGCACTACATTGGAAAAAGCAGACGCCCTCTTCGCCTTCGTCTACATGAGCACCAATAGGCTATTAAACGCCACGACACTTCGTCATTCATTTCAGTGGACGTGGATAATTATGGACATGAATTCAATTTCGACAATGTCGAAATTTTGGACAGAGGAAACACAAAGAATGTCAAAGAATTTCTAGAAGCTTGGCATTCAGGTCAGTCAGCAATCAGTAGATGTATAGACATAGACCCGATCTATCAACCAATAAGAAAAATGATAAACGACAGAAAGGTCAGAGGTGAAGCAGAGGAACAGCCAACAGGAAAGTCAATACCATCAATGACACAACAATCGAAGGAAACAACCAATCACAGACCACATCGTCACAGCAAGCTGCTAAATCACTCACGGAGAGATATTGACAGCTCACTTCATACTGAAGTTAGTGCTGAAGATGTCGTCTAGCAAGGCGATGAAAGCTTCACGATTAAACAACCAGCTCACAGAACACAATACAACCAAGACCAAGTTCTTTTTTATGTGTTCTTGCAATATCGAATGTTCCTCGTGAATGAGGCTGAAATTTCAACTAAGCACCTATTGAGTAAATTCCTGTAATGTTTGTTTGTCATAATTGTTTTATAACCATTATGCTTTTAGCTGTAATTGATCCATTTGACAGTAGGGGAGGGGGCACGTAAAGAAATTGTAATTAACAAGTTATCTAGTCACTTCCTGAATACCCTGTGATTGCTGCTAATTGTAGTCACGAAAGAGAGGAGATGGTTAGATAGGCCTAAGCTTTATTTCTTATTCGACGTGCAGAAACAAACATAGTGACAGAAGTGAAATTGAATGTTTTCCAGCTGCTAGATGTTGTAACCCATCTACCAGAGAATAAGCCGGTGATCCGAAGATCATTAGTTAAAATTCACTGCCGGAATAGTTTTTCTATACACTTTTATTACAGTTTCCGTGTAAAGGAAAACTTGAAAGAAATTGTATGGTATTTCTAAATGAAAGTTTTTCTCGCGCTTTGGTCTCATATTCATAGGCATAAAATATGGAGAATTTCAGTTAACCTTCAAAGGAGGTAATTTTGAAGGTAAATGTCATTTTCTTCAGATAAGTATAAAAGACTTTCAATCATAACTCATTTATTAGGTGCATTATTCCTGTACTATTTGAACACTCTGTATTTCAAACACAAATTCTCTTCTAATTTTCGATCTTTGGATTGGTGAACACATTCTTCAACGTCACAAGTTTGAAATGAAAAATACCGTGACAATTTATCCCTCATCTTGCCAATTTTCATGTAAGAACGAACAAAATTCTGAGAAATCGATCATTTGATCATAATTTTTATCGACACTTTGCATCCAACTATGCAATTCGCCATCAGCCAGTCTATGATATCCTAATTCATGCAAAGCTTTCTTGATTTCATCGACGGATAGCCGTCCTGATTTATCTTGATCAAGTTCATTAAACGTTCTTCTCCATTGTTCAATGCTAGTGGAAAATATGAATAAGTATGTATCAGATCTTTGTATGTACAAAAACAAACTCCCATTACCTTGAGTTGTTCTGCTATCTTACAAAATCATACCACACTTTGAAAACGCCTAAAAATATACACCTATTTTGAGTTTGTTAGTAGGCTTTGCTCCTTTATTCTGCTCTAACAAACTTCCACAGAATGCGTGCATATATATATAGCATGAGAATAAATTCGTTGAACAGAGGCTCTTCTTGTTTTCAATGTGAGGCAAAAGATAGAAGTATAAAGAACCATCGTTTGAAGTTCACGTTAGGCTGCAGCTTTCCGAAAATTTTATAGAGATATGTAAAAGTTTGAGATTTCATATTTTAAAATGCAGAGTGTTTTGGTTGTAAAAGATTTAAGTATGTAATTAAGCCTCAGCTGCAAAAAGTGCAAGAATATCAGATAGTTTAGGAAAAGTAGCTTTTAACGATATTTAAACTGCAACAGCCCTCAAAGGAGAGTAGATTACAAAAAATCTATACCAAGTAAATTCTTTAACAGCAGACGGTAGAAACATAATGACGCTGTTAGAGTGCTATACACTTTTTGAATTATATCATCATCATCATGATGATTACAAAAGATCTATACCAAGTAAATTCTTTAACAGCAGACGGTAGAAACATAATGACGCTGTTAGAGTGCTATACACTTTCTGAATTATATGCATTCCTTAACTGCGTGACTATGCAATAAAACGTAATCAGTTATCAGTATTAACAATTCTTATAAAACATCAGGGGGATATTCCTCTTCAGACGCCTTCTTTTCACAAGTCCAGACTTAATAAGTGTTTTGTACTTCCACGAAATCTGTCGCAGTTCACAGCTTATGTGTCTGTCAATGGATAACATTGGTCAGTTAAATAGTATGTATTATCTGGAGTGCATACTAAGTCGACAGGGCGCTAGAGGTTAGTAAACTAGATACAATGCCAGTTTATAAAGTCTCTGGCCGGTGGTTTGAGCCATATAGGTAATTATGGGTTACCGTACTGTGTTTTCAGGACGACCGGGATCAGTGGTTGTAGACGTTTGGTGATTTCGCTAAAAATCAGCCACAATGGTACTTGTCTATTTTAACATCATTTCGTGTTTACTTGTTCTTTATGTGCTGTTGTGAAATCTGTAAGCCTAAATTGTCTCACTTCCGTTGAAAGTTGTGCTTCGATTTTTCCACCTGTTTAGTCTCTAGTACCCACCTGCGGAATACACTTAATTCATGAAGGCTGAATCAAGCAACCGGGTGCTGGACAACATAAGTTGGACATATGAACCAGTGGGCAAGAGATGAAAGCTGAAAGAATGAAGTTACAGCTTATACAATACTAAGAAAGCGTAATAATTTCTCACATTAAAATCTAGGTAAATGGAATGAGTTAACTACCATTCTTTCAATATGCTATTCACTAAGTTAATATTTTTTTCATTTTTCACGATTCGTAAAAAATACTTCTAAATACCTTAGTATATAAAAATATGTATGCATATTTAGACATAGACTATACATGTAGAAAAAAAAATCTCATCTAGGTGGTTCAGTTTTTTCGTAGCAGATGATTTTACTTTAGTTATGAAGTAGAAAGCAGAAGTAATATCCGAATGACAACTTTTACGAGTTACCCCTTCATATGAAAGATTCATTTTAAAATTGTAACTTACCTCAATGTAATAGTGAGGCATGAATAAGATCGAATGTACTATGATACCTTCCAAATAACATGCTTATGAAGGTATTATTCTTTGCTATCTGAAGACAAATAACTTGTTGTCATCTCAATGATTTCCTCCAGTACACCATTTTACAGTTACGTCCTTAGGCAATTAAATATCAGTCAAATAAATAATGTTATATTTATACTTATTTTTCTTTTCTACCGATTCTTAGATTGAGATGATTAAAGGAGTTAACCTATTGTTATTGGTGAAATTTATTTTCACTAAATAATACAATAGTTTTAAAAAAATGTTGGCATTTTATTCCTTGCAAGTACATTGAAAAAGAAAGATGACTTAATATCAATGAAGACATTAGATAGACAAAAAAAAGGAGACATTGGTAGTGTCTGTGGCCACTTGTACCACGACAATTAAGTAGTAATAAAGCCTCAAGTTATTTCCTGTTTGTAAAGCGGAAGACTGTTTATGATCTCTTAATATAACTAACCACTTTCTAAATTCTTTTTATGGAAAAATGGTAATTGACAGGAAATATTTTGTTATTTATTACTTTGGTTTCTACATCAATTTGTCCGTTTTAGACAGCCAGACAGGAAGTTAGTGAGGTGTCCCCACCTTTTATTTTTAACCTACTAAAACTATCTACAAAGTATATGGGAAACCATGATAAATGAGTTCTTGCTTCAAATATTAAGAAATGTGTCACATGGCACCGTTGTTTGAAACATACCTACTGAAGTGTTCCGGATACTTGAAATAATAAACATTGGACACAGGGAGTCATGATATCAAGTCACTGATCATGGTAATAAGAGTACAAGAATGATCTAAAAAGGTCCGTCTAAGATTGCAAGCTAGATATCACAATTTTGGTTGCCACCCAGTGACTGTTATGCAGTGGAACAGTATCCCCTGGATTTTTCAAAGAAGCCTCGAATTTTCTTGAAAGCGTTCATAGCCAGTCATGGCATACTCAACACTCGCGGGAAACCATGTGATCATCTGAATGAGTTTCATAACTGCTAAAGGACTTTCCAGAAAAGTGTAGAATATAACAATGTCATCAGAAATGCATACAAACCGTTACGTTTTGTACATGTTTGACTTGTTAGTAAACCTTTTGTCGTTTTTGTCCCTTCTTTTTTTTCAAGGAACCAAGTGGCCTTCAAAGGTGAAGCCTAAGATTATTGTTCAAGAGTGATCAATCAATTTTAAACAGGCACAGTCATCTAATGTATTGCGTATAGTAGTGCAGTTAAGATGATACCCCTATTGAAAGTGAAAACCAGCCAATTTATACATTTTTCGTCAACTGCTTTTTAAACGTCTCAGAACTAAGTCCCAAACATTTTTCATGGCACTGAAATGTTTCAGTGAGATGTCTTGCAACAGAGACACAGGTAGATAAAAAAACCACTAGCGAATGACAACTATTCTCGAATTCATTTACTAATATGCAGTGAGATATTATGTATTACTTTCTGATAAGTATCATTAACAGATCGTCGTTCACAATTTTACATGGCCACTGAGGCTTAGAAATAATTACTTACATTAATGTATGTGGTTTTTGTCAGCAAAGGATTGCTATCAGAGTCCACTGAAACTGCTTCTTAAGGTCAGGCATTTATGCGACTTAAAATCTCGTTTAACTGTCACATCTGACAGTCAAGAGAAACTATAAGTGACCAAGTTTATAGTCAGTGGTCCACTAACCTATGATCAGATGTTAAATGGACTGAGGCAATTGGCAGGAAGCCCTGAACCTGTGTTTCATGCTTTTTGGCAGTCGTCAGCAAATGTATCTGCGACTTCTACGTAACTGATGTCCTACCCGTAATCCTAACCCGCGTCACCCATTCCTGCAGTTAAAGACGTTACCACTGAGATATTAGGGCAGCGACTGACCTCCTGCAGGACTAAATTAAGCACATTGATCGGTCCTACTGGGTAACCAACCTCATATTGCCTAGTCCGAATCTCACGCGGGATATCATTTTCATAGTTATTGCAGATACGCCCTGCTGATGAGTGCCAGAAAGCATCCAACTAACATCTATCAAAGTGCATCGCGATGTTAAGTCAACTAGCCTGGTGGTCACGTTGCAAAGTGATCAATAGGAATCGATCACCATTTAGGACTAGACAACAAAGTTGGTTACTTTCCAGTGACCAACCAACATATCGTCAGTTTGTATGTATGTTGAAAAGCAATGGCTATACTATGAAAAGAGAATATCTATATTCAGAATTTTAATGGAATACTGTTAATGGCTGCAAACCTTCATATATTTTATCTCCAGTTAGTATTATATTCATATTCAATGCTAGACTAAAAAAATAGAGTTCGACGACTGCAACTACTTTACGAAGATTCAGGAAATCAGGAATCAAAGGTGGTGAGCAGAACCTACCATACTGGATAATGGAATGTTCTCAAAACCACACATTCTTTGATAATTCAGTCAGATGCAAAAAATCAAAAAAATAAATAACTGGCATATCAGTTATTATAAGAAAATTATCTATGTAAACGAAACTATGAAATTAGGTCATTGAACTCACTGACCTACTCTCAAGATACTTTGATTACAGAGCTTCAAAAACGTTTTGGTTCTGTGACATGGGATCTAGTGATATACCTTAACACAAATAGAACGAATATTTATTAACTTAATTTGAGCACTGACCAGGAAGTGGTATCAACACTCTCAGGTTGGAATACATCCTAAAATTACACATAATCGCTTACATAAAAGTCTTATTTCACATGCACAGGATTCCACACACACAGTAACAAAAACATAATATATGCATCATGAAACATCGCCCAGGAACTAGTTAAATATGTACCAGCTGCCCCCAAGGCAGGAAAAAGAGGAAAGATTACGCATACGCCTTGCAACCCCACACGCAAAACCAATCCAATCGCTAATGACACTTCAAAGCACAAATGAAATATAAAAAATAAAAACAAAATTATTCCTCGCTGGAATCGGAGAGACGAAATGACACCGGTTGGTGAATGCCTTCGGGAAGCCAATTGGCCGATGTGTCTTCGCCCCTCTCGATGAAAGCGAAAGTAAGACTGGAGACATAGAATGTCAGCACCATATATGGACCTAGCAAGACTGCCCAGATTGCAAGCGAGATGTGAAGGTATAGCATAGAAGTGCTAGGAATCTGCAGAAGCAGATGGAATGGGTATGGACTCTCCAAACTCTTAACTCAAGTGTCAATAATCTACTCCGATATTGTCACCCAGATGACAACCACGAGCTCAGCAC